TACTGAAAAATAACTTGATATCATGTTTGTTAGCTCACGGGCGGCGCTATGTGCGCAGCCCATGTCCTTAAGCCAATTTATCGGCCAGACCAGTAATTTCCTCAGCAAACATGAGTCACCTGAACATAGTATACTGAATAATGACTAAATAAACAATAAACACTCAGGAGTTGCCGGATAAATCTCAACTTAACTCGGTAAGGACCAACATGGCCTAAACTGAGTACCCCTTAGCATTTAACATGAATTTAGGGACATGAACTGAACATTTAATCAAATCCTAATCTAAATAACATGAATAGATGTTGAGGATAAAGTTACCTCTATGTATTCTCGATCAATTATGCAAAGACTCGCATGATTAAGCATCCGGGTAAGGCTTGCGCGTGTATGTGTGACATAGATTAATCTTACTTATTTTTTGTGCTAGTAATATAACTTAAGGTAAACTGAATTTTATTTTACCAACTTGCTGCTGAACACACGGTTTAAAAGAGTACTATACTAAGGGAAAATGATAGCAAGGTGTAGCCAATAGGCTTGCACCAATTGTTGCGTGCACAAGGCCTTATGTGGCCACTTGAATACTTAGTCATCAAAGTCTTTGCTTAGTCATAGTACAATTGCACTACATGCTACCATGTGTACAAAAGCCATCATGAGCCTCACGTGAATCTTGTTCTCAAACCTACGGCCAATAAGAGTGCTCTAAACATGGTTAGGTGCTCATTAAGCACGCTTTGGTGCTAACATGCCTTAGGATGAACAAAGCATAACTTAATTATGCTTTGCTTAACATAAGCATAATTAACCTTAAACATGATTATCCCTTAACTAATCCTCATTAATGTTAATTAATCTTCATTAACATTAAGCTAATAATGATTATCTTTAAGCTAATCGTGATTAATTAGCTTAAACATGATTAAGTTAATTAATCAAGGGTTAATGACCATTACTTAATTAATAAGGATGGTGTACCAATGGGTACACGTCGCTGTATAGGATACTGAACTTGACGTAAGAAACTTTAATTATCGGAAAATTATTCCGAACATAAATGTGACATTCGAAAATTAATTTGAACTTTCTAGACTTGGGCGATTAATCTGAATATTGATATTCCGAATAATTCGTCAACTTAACTTATTAATTCCGAACTCCTTAAATAAAGAAGCGAATCGGAATTAAAATCTGGAAACTTATCCGGCTACGAAATAATTAACCGAATAATTTCTCGACTAATAGTCGAACTTGGAATTTAACTGGCTGAATCACTTGAACTTGAACATGAGCATGATTATTTATTAATAAAGGCTAGCTTAAAAATAAAACTAGTATTTTCCTTTATTAATAAAATACGGGGCGTTACAATCCATCCCCCTTAAAATATTTCCGTCCCCGGAAATACTAAAACTGGAATGTACAAGCTTGACCTAAAGCTTATACTTACTGATTACATGACTTGAGAATCCAGTAATTTAATACCGAATAAGAGATTTGATCTGAACTGAAGATACATCAATTCACAATTGAGTGAATTGTAAAATACTGCTGACTGAGATTGGACACTTTTCTGAAAGAAAGTGTTCCACTGATAAGACATGATCTCAAAACGAATGTCTGAAACGTATTGGTCATCATCTCCTGGCTGCTGGCTGATCTCCAGTCGGAATGCTGGTGGTGAAGACTCCTGTCGTTGGTACACATGGAAGATTCCAGAGATTCACATATGCACAAATGAGGATAACTAGCTATATTGGTCATTACCTCTTCATGAATTTCTGCTCGACAACGCGGCACATCGTTCGCGGCACATTGTATTGCGGCACACCTGCTCCTCATCAAGTGAGTGCGGCACGCCTGCATACAGCACCTAGCGAACATTGCACCTGCGTCGTCGACGTAATCTGATCGCATTTATACCTCAAGCTAGTAACCTCAATGTACGTTAATACTATCTCTCTGTAATCTCCCAGTGTACTGAGACTCAAGCATGGCATCTTCGAATGGAAGGCGTCGGTTTGTCATCCTGGCACGATCTGTTGCTATCGATTGGCCCTTCTTCGTCGCGGCGTATGTCAACCTGTGGTACCTGCAACTGTTTACTCCTTCCGAGGTTA